GGCTTCTGCATGAACGGGATGCGCACCGGTGATTTCTGCGTCTTGTGCGCCTTGGCCAGCAGAGCCCGCGCGGGCGTCTTGGGCACCGGCGAGGAGGCCCCAGGCCCAGGCAGGGGGCCCAACGGGGCGCCTGGGGGACTCTTCCTGGGAGGCAGCGGGGTGGCGGGGGAGGTCTGCGAGGAACCAGACGAGGGTGTCTTAGCCAGGCGCGCGGGCGGCGTGGCGCTTCTCTGCGGGGGGCTGCGGGGCGCCAGCTCCGACATCTTGCCTGGCCTGTGCAGGCTGCGGGATCGCGGGGGCCCGGCGTTCGGGGCGGCTGGCTGTGCGGGGCTTGGTGGCCCCGGCTTCCTCGGGGTGGCACGGGGAACTGGCGCGCCTCTGAGCTGTCCCCGGGGAGCCGGGCTGGGCACGTAGATGACTGTCCGTCCCCGCAACACGGCGGGCACGCCAGATACCACCTTCTGAGCGCCGCGCGCCTGCTCGGGCCCACCGCGGACAGCCACAGCGCGTCTCTCCAGCCGCCCAGCGCTGCCCGCCTGGCCCTCCACCCCTGGCCGCCGCCCCTTCCGGTCCGCATTGGGCGCTGACGCGTGGGATGGGACTGGATCGGCCTTGGCCTCGCGAGTGGCCGCAGCGGCTGCTGCCTGGTGCAACCAGGTGACGATGGAGTTGGCGCCCTCCTGGATGGCGCGCCACTCCACGCTGTCCAGGTCCGAGGCGCCGCGGTCCGAGCCTGCCGCCTCCTCTCGACGCTCCCGGGCAACCTCGACAGCTGACTGGGCTGCTCCAGGCTTACGCCTCCGGGGCCCGGCGACTGGGGGCCGGCGCCTGGGTATGGCCGAGCCGATGCAGCCCTGAAGCAGCCTCTCCTCAGCCCGTGGACTGGGTGGCCCGCCCCCGCGCCCAGCCGCTCCGTCGGAGTCCTTGCTGAGCGCTGAGCCCCGGCTGCGGCCGGCTGGTTGCTCTGGTTCAGGCTCGCTGAGGGAGCTGACGGAGGAGCTCAGCGAGTAGCAGGGCGGGGGTTCGTCGGCGATGAGGCTGGGGTGCGCCCGGGTGGGCGGCAGCGCAGGCAACACAGCCTTGGCGGTGGCCTTGGGTACATCCTGCCTACCTGCCTGGCGCTCCCTCTTCAGGGCCCGTGGGATTGCAGATGGTCGCCGGGGAGGCTCGGCCGCGGTCGCTGGCGGCGCCTCCTCCTCCGAGTCGTAGAAGCAGTACACGGCCTCCTCGGTGGGTGTCGTGAGACACAACGACTGCGGGCCCCCGTCCCCACGTGCCCTGGCGGGCCTGTCGCGGTCCTGGTCCGGTAGGGCACTGGGTGGGCGGCCGAGGGGCAGCTGCAGGCCGGAGCGGCTCCTGCCCTTTGTACTGACCTGCTCAGCACTCCGGCTCACGCCCCCGGCCTTGTGCCGCTGCCCAGAGGCCGTCCCGGAGGGGGTGGAGCGGCCTGCAGGTGTCAGCCTACCCAGCCGCCCCGCCGTGGGCCGGTCCCTAGGGGGCCCCTGCAGCGTCTCGTCACTCAGTGAGGCAGCACTGGAGAAGTTGACAGGTGTGCCCTCAGCCGAGTCGCTGCCCGAGTCGTCCTCACAGGCTGGGGCGGGCACCAGCATGTACACGGGCACTGGCAGTGCCCGGTGGCGGCCGGGCACCAGCGCTGAGGCAACCTTGCGCACCCGGGCAGGCACGGCAGCGCCCAGGCATGCGCGCAGCAGCTCCAACTCCGAGTCGGTAGCCGCGG